CCCCAAAACCCCAAAACCCCAAAACCCCAAAACCCCAAAACCCCTTATAGTAAGTAAAATGAAATAAGAAGTTAAATAATTTGAATTTAAATTAGAAAGTTATGGAGGGTGATAGTGATAATTCATTTTGTGAGAATGGAGATTCTCAACAAGAATACTATTAAAATTAATAAGAAGAAGATTAAGATTATGGAAGCGAGAACCAGTCATAACAGTAATTAGATGGAGAAAACGATGAAGATGACAATGATGATTTGTTAGAGATGAGTGGCAACGGAGATCAGAGCTACATCAGTGGAAATTATCTCAGTGATCATCAATAATACTAGCAGCAACAGCAATAACAGTACCTTTAACAGCAATAATAGTATCAAAGGTTTTAATAACAATACCAAAATGAGGATGAAGAAGAGGAGGAGGATAATGATTAACTTCAGAATTAGTATTAAGATTAAGATCAAGAAGATGAGCAGGATGAAGATTAAGATGAGGAAGAGCAAGAAGAAGTTGAAGATGAAGAAGGAGCAGAGGATCAAGACTAAGAAGGAGACTAAGAAGAAGATGATGGATAAAACGAGGATGAGGATGAAGATGAAGATCATGACTTGAGAGAACCCACAAAGCCTTAAATTCTATATTAATAACAGCAGTAGATGCAATAGCATTAGCTTTTGAATCAGTAATAGCAATACTACAATCAACTTCAATAACAATAGCTTCAAAGGTAGCAATAAGAGAGTCAAAATAATCAAGTTCAAGCAAAATAGCAGTAATAATAACTGTAGAAGGTGCAACTAAAGCAATCGCAACACTAGCAGTAAAAAATGGCGGAGAATCAAGATGAGGATCAGGATGAAGATGAGCAGAATAATGAAAGCGAGGAGGAAGATCAAGTAAATGATATGTCCTTTAGTCACATTGACTACAAACAGTAATTCCAGTAGTAAAGGCAGTAGAATGGTTATACCTAGCAGTAATAAAATTAAAATGAAAGTGAAGAAGGAGAGGATCAAGAGCAAGAGCAAGCAGATGAAGATGAAGAGGAGGAAGAAGATGATGACCAAGAAATAGGGGAGATGAAAGCAAAATTCGACAAGATAATGGCTAACTTTGTTGATGAAAACAAGAAGAGTGGAAAGTAAAGCTACATTCACAGCAATGACGATAACAATATGAACTCAATTCAAAATAGAGATAAGACTCTAGACTTCAAAAATAAAAACATGCAGAAAAATGTGAAAGGCATAATCAACAAACCACCTAAAGCTCAGCCATAAAATATCCAAAATAATCAGCATTAGCAGTATACTAGTAATGATGATGAAGATGATTAGTATGATGCAGTAGTAGAAGGCCCAGACAGAGACAATGATGAATAGTCAGTCAACATCAAAATCAACAATAAACAACTATTTCCGCAAAAGCCACCAATGCCGCTTAAGTCAGTGTTGAAAAATGGGGGCAAAGACTAATAAAGATCCTCTACTCCTGATAGAGAGCAGGCTCTGAGAGAGCGAATTTAGAATTAAAACATGCAGCATTAATAGTAACTGACTGCTGTAAACATAAGATCCTATTCTTAAAACAATGAGAATTGTGGTCAATAATTAGCAAGGCCAAAGAGTGCTTCACGGCCTGGAGGTATCTAATCTTAAAAATAATTCAATGCAATTCAATAACAAATGCAGCCATAACAACAGCTAGTTGCCTAGAAAATCAGCTTGAAAAGACCTTAAACAGCAGTTGTGAAGAAGAATAATCTTACATAGTAAACATAATAAATATTCAATGATGAAAACACAATGGATCCTAATAATATGCTAAAAAAAGCAATAGTTCCAAAATTCAAAAGACCATAGACTGCTAGTGTAAAGTCAGCAGGAAACTTTGCTTAGTTTAAAGCCAATAAAAATGTGAAGAAGAAGACAGACCCAGTAAGCAGATATCAAAGTCTATAAAATGAGTGGAAAACCAATTCATTCCTAAAGTAATCAAACAATAAACAGGGAAGAAAACTTGATCTAGACAGATTCCACAAGTGGAGTTCCTTGGTTCATGCTCATAATTCTATCTCGCAGCAGTAAGTTTAAATAGATAATTTGATTTTTTTATAGGAAAAAGGGATAAGTACATAAATTCATTCCAAATAACAAAGGACCGACCGAGGACCGTAGAGATGATATGAGATTCCAGCTTAGAGCTAAGATGAGTCAGAAGGATTACGTAGACAAGCAAATGAAAGTTTTCCACTATAATTAAGAAATATAGCAACCTGCTCATCATAAAAATGTGAAAGCCCCTACATCATAGCAATAATTCATAATGAATCAAATGCAATTATCTGATTAATACGAAGTGGAAGATAAGCTTGAAGTCATTAAGAAACAGATAAATAACCTCAAGAAATGTGTATGATAAAATATCAGCAGAGTCATTGCAAACATTTGAAGGTTGATTGATTATTATGAAATTAAGATTATGATCATATATGTATATTGCATAATAATACTTCATTCATTTATTTATTTTCACTTGCTTTCTTGATTACTTAATCTCTCATCTATAATGATTGGATACTCAGAATTCTGGTGGCATTGATTGTTAACTTCGTTACAAAGAGAAATGCATTTATGAGCCTCATCTACATAGTATTGCTGCTACCTATCAAGATCATCATAATTTTAGAACAGATTTATTAGGAAAGATTATACTTTGGATTTGATAATCTTATCTCTATAAGTCAATTCTATCATCTCTGAGCCTACCTAACTGAATATCTTCACGCTATTCTTTTCCTTAGGCTAAGTTAAGAACTCTATCTCGATATTAGCTAGGGGTTCATTTTCCATCATATAGCATTTCAGTACTTCATTAGCATATATTATCTTTGGAGTTTTACTCTTCATTACTTTGACAAAGTCCATAGCATACTTATACCAAGGTTTAAGTTTAGAAGGCAACCTATCGAATCTATATTAAACCTCGTAGTCATTTTCTAGGGCTAGAGATTTTATCGAGACACTCTAGCCATTTGGAGAAATGTATAACTTCTTTTGCTGTTTGTGAAGCAGTTGGACAACTTCACCTTTTTTGTTGATTTTGATGTACCCACCATTAGGAGTTTAATGTTTGATTGGCTAGAGTCTAATTGTCGAAATCAACTCTAACTTTATTTCTTCATAGTTCTTTTTCTATTTTTTCTTATGATCAATAGAATACTGCTCATCAGAAACCATTATGTTTTGATTCTGATGCTTAACACTGGTTGGCTAAATTTATATCTCCTACAGTGGGTTATGATATGCCTTTTATTGTAAAATATTTTGAGTGACTTAATTCACACGTTCATCCAGTTTCTGCTTGATTTTACTGAGTTTCATCTATTTTTGCTTGAAATTGTAGTTATTCTCTTTAGCCTCGATGTCCTCATATTAAAGATTTTTAGAACAGCTCTATTTACTTTAAAGTTCTAGAATTTTACTCTTTTGTTTATTTTTACTACTAAGATATTCGTGAAAGGCAGGAGTTTCTGCAGAGTAAATATTATCAGGGTCGCTTTCCTTTTCAAAGTTGATAGTCTCAAATTTCTAGGGTTCTTCGTGCTCATAATTGATATTAGTTTTGCTGATTTAACTCTCCATTAAGCTTTCATCTTTGCTTAGATAAGAATGAGCAAGCACTTGATCTATAGTGTACCTCTTCTTTTGATCTTTTACTAGCATCTTGGAAATAAGATCTTAAGCATCCTCAGTTAGGTCCTAAGGCATTTTATACTTACACTAAATGATCCTTTAAATAGTACCATTTGAATCTGGGCATTCAAAAGGAGGATATCCAGTAAAAAGAGCATATAAGATACAGCCAAGAGACCAAATATCAGTTTTAAAGTCATAGGCTTATTTCAATCCAATTTCTGGAGAAAGATAGTTTGGTGTACCGCATTATTCATTTGGAGAGTTCATCAAATCTTGGATGTGAATGGTTATTCCGAAATCCAAGATCTTAACCTGCTCATCTTTTGTATACAAGATATTGGAAAGCTTAAGATCTCTATGAATGTAGCCGAGATCATGCATGTATTTCACACCCTTCGCTACCTTTTTCATTATCTTAGCAACTTTAATTTCATCAAAGCCGTAGCCACACTGCTGCTTATGTTCCTTAAGCTGCTTATATAAATCAACACAGTCTTAATACTCCATCAGCATATATAGGTTCTCTTTATCTTCAAAATGCTGGTAAAGTTCTATTATATGAGGACTCTTCAATTTTGAATGTATCATTATCTCTCTATTGAGAGTTCCATTCTATGAAGATTTTGCTACCTTTTCTTTGTCTGTGACTTTCAAAGCAAGAACTCTCTGATCTTAATGGCATTAGACCTTATAAACAGTTGCATTTGCACCCCTGCCTATTTAATCAAGGATAATGTAGTCCTAAAAATGAATTCAGTTAATATTAAATAATACAAGAAATTTCAAGAGATACTCTTACCTTCATAGTTTTACTATATTCAGATTTCATGCTTGATTGCCTCTTTCAATTTTAAATTTAAACAATAAATTTTTTTAATTCAGTGATAATTGTACTTTATTCTTTGTGGGGTTTTGGGGTTTTGGGGTTTTGGGG